ACGTTCTAGTGTTTTTCTCATTATATGTTTCTAATACAAATTGAAAAGGACAGGGTGATAGTATGCAACCCTTTCTCACTCACACACTGGTCTTGACAAATTTTGCTATGTCATTTGGAATGAGTACCGCACTGCTTGCATCCTTATAAAGTGCTTCAATTGTTTTTTATCAAAGTTGAAATCTCTCATTATTTGCCAGAGCCCAGCATGCCACACTGTCAAATGGGTTCGTGAAGTCGATGAATATGTGAATAAATGGTTGATGTTGTAAGTGTTTTTCTATCATAGTTCTAATGTAAAAACTATTATGTTACTATTACCATGCAATAGTTCCAAAGACATAGGAGGATGCACGGTAATATCATAATATTCCCCCCCCCCCCCCCCATCTCGGGAGCTCTGACATTTCAAGTCTAAAAATGTGTAGGGGGGGGGGGGGGGGAGCGAGGGGAGGAGGAGGGGTAAAAGTTTGGGTTAGTGTTAGTTGGCGTTCATTTAACACTAACCCTAACCCCGTATAATATTCGAGTGTCCAGAGAATTCCCTAAAAATTCCCTACGAAATGTCGGAGCTCCCGAGATGGGGTGAAATAAAAGAATAGTACCGGATGCACTGCAGCCAACATTGACTGCATAAACGGCAGACAATTTTAAAAAATCTGAAAAAATGCATGCTATGAAAATAAAACCCTAACTTGCACAGTTTGTGGCGTCAGCACTAGCCATGCGATCTTAAATTAACAGCACTGCATTTTATGTTTTTTTTTTATGTTTGCAACTTGACTCTGTCATATTTATCATTATATCTTCTTCGAATAAACATATTTATAATAGTCCTGAAATTGCATGCTCAACTTCTGGAAGACTTTACTAATGGGAGTAATTTTGGGACACAGTCTTCGTCGTGTAAGTAAGTACGTCATAAAATGTACGAATTAACGCCCCAGGGATTAAAGTCGTGACGCTGATCGCATCGGTAACCGAGTGTCGGTCTATACAAATTTAAGTCTATATGCCCCTGGCATGTGTCTGAATGTATGTTCATCTCGCCTTTTCCACTAGTGTCGGTCTATACAAATTTAAGTCTATATGCCCCTGGCATATGTCTGATTGTATGTTCGTCTCGCCTTTTCCACGAGTGTCGGTCTATACAAATTTAAGTCTATATGCCCCTGGCATGTGTCTGATTGTATGTTCGTCTCGCCTTTTCCACGAGTGTCGGTCTATACAAATATAAGTCTATATGCCCCTGGCATGTGTCTGATTGTATGTTCGTCTCGCCTTTTCCACGAGTGTCGGTCTATACAAATATAAGTCTATGTGCCCCTGGCATGTGTCTGATTGTATGTTCGTCTCGCCTTTTCCACGAGTGTCGGTCTATACAAATATAAGTCTATTTGCCCCTGGCATGTGTCTGATTGTATGTTCGTCTCGCCTTTTCCACGAGTGTCGGTCTATACAAATATAAGTCTATATGCCCCTGGCATATGTCTGATTGTATGTTCGTCTCGCCTTTTCCACGAGTGTCGGTCTATACAAATATAAGTCTATATGCCCCTGGCATGTGTCTGATTGTATGTTCGTCTCGCCTTTTCCACGAGTGTCGGTCTATACAAATATAAGTCTATATGCCCCTGGCATATGTCTGATTGTATGTTCGTCTCGCCTTTTCCACGAGTGTCGGTCTATACAAATTTAAGTCTATATGCCCCTGGCATGTGTCTGATTGTATGTTCGTCTCGCCTTTTCCACGAGTGTCGGTCTATACAAATATAAGTCTATATGCCCCTGGCATATGTCTGATTGTATGTTCATCTCGCCTTTTCCACGAGTGTCGGTCTATACAAATTTAAGTCTATATGCCCCTGGCATGTGTCTGATTGTATGTTCGTCTCGCCTTTTCCACGAGTGTCGGTCAGGTTCGCTGGTCGCTCCCCATAACAAAAGGGTGTATTAGAAAAAAACTTATTTGCGTATCCTTTACAGGACGTTGCAGAACCAGCCGCAGCATTTTTTGGCTGTTGTAGTTTTTTTAGGCAAATTTACGTCCAGTAGTTTGCCATTGCCCCCTGGACGGTCGGCTTCTGGATACCACTGTCGAAACCAACGCAAGGCGCTTGGTCCGCAGCTGGGATTGAACCCGGCATCAGAGTGTATCAGAATAAACATGGTTAACTGCAACAATGCCAATGCAGTCAACTACCAACTGGCCCCACTTCTTCGTCATCCAAAGATCTCGTTACCAGCCAAACAAGAGATGATCAACAGAATTTTCCTCCCTATGTTATGTTATCAGTGCCAAACGTGGACAATGAACAAATCACATATGCAAAAAATAACTACGTGTGAAATGCGATGTTTCCGAAGAGTCACCAACAATACACGAAGAGACAGAGTCACAAACGTCAGCATTAGAGACAAAGTTGGAACAAGAGCATGCATGAAACATATTGAAAGACAGAGAATGAAGTGGTTTGGCCATTTAGTAAGAATGCAACCGGATCAGCTTGCCTATAAGGCCTTTTACAGTAGAACATCGGGAAGAAAGGCCAGAGGAAGACCCAGGAAAAAATGGATAGATGGAGTAGCTGAATACGGCCAGAAGATCCAGAAAACTGTCACTCAAATCACGCGAGGGGCACAAAACAAATATTTTAAACCACGACACTGGGCTGCAACCCGGTAAAAGTGAAGAAGACAATAGATAGAGAGATAGAACTGCAACAATAGCCGCGAGATCTCACGCTCAGATTGTTGACGACTCTTCTTAGCGGGAGTTGTGTTATGACACAATTGTTGTCACTGCACACTGGGAATTTCCGTGCGTCTCGATCCTCCGTTGCAGCTGCCACACCAAGGTAGATTAAAGTTCTCTGATTCTTCTATTCCTAATAGATGATACTGTATTGTATCTCAGCACGGACGCACACACTCCACCATGGACAATGATTCCCACAACTCTATATCCTCCTCTTCACCATCGTTATTATTACGTGCCTTGCAGACTGGGGTATGAGATCGTGCCTCGCTATCTTCATACATGTGTCATTTCGCGCGCTGAGACTTCTCCAAGGCTGTCAGGAACCTTCATGAGTTATCATTCTCTATCTCTTTTTCCACAGATGTGTTCAGTGATTATAGCATCTTTCAGTTTCCTTCTTCTAATAACATGAGAAAAAGTTGCTTTTGTTTTTATTCACCCCAAAACAGGCAGTCCAATATTTCAGGGGGTGGTAGATAGGCTGCATGCAGTCGTGGGACCTAGGCTGCGTGCATTTGTGGGACCTAGGCTGCACTCTCTCGTGGGACGTAGGTGGGTTGGGGTTAGGTCTAGTTCTAGGTGTTTTTGGGGTAGTTAAAAGCACTACAAAGCCGGGAAACACGGTCTCACCACCCTAAAAAAAAAAAAAGGGGGGGGGGGTGTGACATAAGAAAGAACCATCCAAAAAAAAAAAAAATAATGACTGTTTCTTTCTGAGGTTTCTTATACGTAAAAGTGCCAGCCTTACAGACATAAACCCTGGCGAGGAATGAATTCCTGTGCCCGAAGCGCTCAGGAGCACTTTCTCCTGTTGCTGTTGACGCTGAGGTTCCCGCGCTCATCAGATGACAGTTCCGATGTGCTGATCTACACAGATAGGCCTGTTGTACGAGGACATAAGAGGGCACGGACATTCACAGCTCGCTCTGCGGGCAAAACAGCCCAGGAAGCCAGAGGTGCCTTTTCTATGACTACCAACAGCATGACGATGGGGGTGATGGCAGAAATCACAGGACTTTTCCCACTCTGTGTGTGTGTGCTTAGTGATTCTTTAAGTATGACCCGGTGTGTCGAGGCAGGCTTCGTACGCAGACAGTGGATTGAGTCATTGCGAAACTCCATGCAGTTATCCTCATTGTCGTCCCAGGATCTGTAGGTGTCGTTGGCAATGAAAGAGATGATAGACGGACGGGTTCTGACTTCTTTGAAGGCCAGCCTATGGATCGCACTGCCATTGTTAATGTCCTTAGATATGACGATCTGAGAATTTTGAGAGCAGCGTGTCCACATAACAGCTAATAAGGCGAGAATAGGGAGTACAGATTGGTACATCCAAGCATGAAAGGCACACCGGACGTAGACGAAGTCTTGTTAACCAACATAGGACTGGCACTATTGACCACCGGGCGCTGATGCATATGTTAAAGGGGTAATCTGAGCACCTACGGTCATGTCCAGTGTGCTGTGAAGATAACTCATAACTGAGGTAACTGAGGTTTCTTGGTAAGTTGTCTTCGAGCCCTCGGCACTTTGTGTTGCTTTTTTTCTGGGGCTTTCAAATTGTAGTAATTCTCCTGTAAAGTTACATCTTAGAGGCCTCAAGAAATTGTTTGCTTGTGTATTGTCCGGGATTAACAGCCGTGTGTTAAAAGCCTCTGTATAGCTCAATATAACACTATCGCCTGGAACCACGGAAATTTGACATCGTCTGCAGAGACGAAAATTAGTCAACAGCACATTATTTTTTTTTTTAAATCTGGGACAAAAATAGCAGAAAACACCATACAAAAATCACCACAGTTGGATAACATAAAAATACACTATGTAGAGGGAAAATTCAATATTGTTGGTACAAAACTAAGTAATTTACTGAAAACTAACCTATTGAGGTTTTACAGTATTCTACTCCTCGCAAACCTAAGCGGAATTACACTAGCGGCCATTAAAAACAATTCATATGGCATTCGAATTTGGGAATTTGATTAATTTTAGCTGTCGTTTTCGGTGCTGGTGATTCTTTTAATCGTGGATGAAGTAAACAATCAAAAGTAACCTGCACAGGCCTTTTGAAATGTCACATTACAGTGACATTTCTTAGATTATATACGCATTTTGTTCACCTTAATTTGGTCCCAAGAACGAAAATGATGTGAGAGAACCCGTTGTCAACGGTTGACTTTCGGTGGCTCTTCCCCAGTTGAAAAAGACATACTTCGCTTCGTTTGGGACTGTATTATAATATGAGTGGTCGACCCAGGACAACTTCTTTTGCTGAAGGTGGAAAATCTAACCAAAATACTCAATTTGGAGGGATGAGAACCATCAGTAAGTGCTGACTTATTTTTATGTCAGCCATGCTGTTGTTGAGACAATCAAAATGGCGGTATCGTTCATTAATGTTATGATTAAATTAAGATCTTTGAAACAGATCAGGGAGAAATTTTTATCAATCGTAAAGCATTTTAAAAGTATGCTGATTAAATTTGTTTTATTTAAATGTATGTTAAAGAGTATGCCGTGTACTTGACTTAGGTAAGGAAAACCCACGTCCAAATTCCAACCTACCAAATCATCGAAGTAAGATGAAAGAAAATGAAAGTTAACTCGTGATTTCTTTGTATTTATCTTATTGCAACCGTCAGTAATTAACGAACTAGTTGGTCATACAGACATATCGTTTACTTGTAATTTTGTTTAAGCATGCTACATGCATACCAGTTAATTTACTGAACAAATCTGAATTTCACTTCCATCATCATCATTAATGTCATTAACAGCAGCAGTCACAGTGCACAAACAGTTTAAACACATCATTTGTTTCCTATTCTTGTCTTTGACTTTGCATTTTCTTTAATATCATGATATGCTGAAGTTTACATTGTACACATGCTACTGTACTAGTTCCAGTCAAAAAAATTCATAATGTACCCACATACCTTGTATTAAGAAACATTGAATTTTGTATGAGTTGTTTGTTTCAGTTTTATTTTTAAAACTCTCCAGTCTCCTGATAAGAAAAAAATGTGTTCGTTCTATTCTCAAAATTTACACTTTTACTTGTCATTCATCTTCTTCTTCAGCATTTTGAGCCCTTGAGGTTCATTGCTGAAGATATCATCCACCTCTGTTCCCATCTCTCGTTGGCCTTCTCTTTCCTGTTGGTGACATCACGTGTTGGTTGTTTGTTGGATATTATCTCTCCATGGACTTCTTGGTCTGCCTTGGGGTCTGCAGCCATTCACTTTTATTGATTCTTTATTCACCCATCAGCAGACATTGTGCTTGAACAGAATTGCTTGAACAGAATAGCACCCGTATGAAAGTTCTCGAGGGCAAGAGATAGGCACAGAGTGGGTTAAGTCAACCCAGAAACTTTGAGACTAACAGCGGCTTCAAGCTGTACTGGCACAGTTGATATCATGCTAGCTTATCAGCATAAGAGCTGTGCTGGCACAGTTGATATCATGCTAGCTTATCAGCATAAGAGCTGTGCTGGCACAGTTGATATAATGCTAGCTTATCAGCATAAGAGCTGTGCTGGCACAGTTGATATCATGCTAGCTTATCAGCATAAGAGCTGTGCTGGCACAGTTGATATCATGCTAGCTCATCAGCATAAGAGCTGTGCTGGCACAGTTGATATCATGCTAGCTCATCAGCATAAGAGCTGTGCTGGCACAGTTGATATCATGCTAGCTTATCAGCATAAGAGGTGCCACCGTGGTGTAGCAGCTAGACCAGCTCGCCTGCAGATCCAAAAGTCATGGCTTTCTGATGGTGTCAAATAAAAAAAAAAAGGACCTTGGCTCCCATGCCGACCCAAACTTAAAATTGGTACCAGGTGAAGACCTGGGAAGTGAAAGTGGCCGACGTAATCACCCACCGAGTCCCGATGGTTTGTAAAAAGTAGGTCTAGCCCTATATGATATGTGTAATATGCAAGGAAAGGGAACGTTTTTTTTTTAATGTCAGCATAAGATGTGGGGCTGAGTCATATTTGAGATTTCATTTTCTCTAAAATAACTCGACACCCACAAAACTCTGATAAGGGAAAACATAAATGTGCTGATGAATAATCCCAAATCTTGTTATTGTCATAGTACAAGTATAAATCTAAATTTTTTTGGTGCTATCATTCTTCTAGATCTTGTGATCACATCCCTGATATTTACATTGGAAGACTAGTTGTGATAAAGTTAGCCTGTTTTTGCGGTTGCTTTATAGTTCTGAATAGTTTTGAGTGTGGGGTTTTATCTCAACCCACGAGAAGTTTAGTGGTGTTTGTGTGTGCTGTCATTAGAACCATGCATTCTTTAATAATTCCTAGCTTAAGCTGGTGTTTGAACCGATTATTGTGTGGGCCTGAGGCAGGCACTCTGAATCTCATTACTAGTATGTAGATCATAAACTTCTGAGTTATATGTCAGTTGAAATATAATCTCTTTTTTGTGTGTGGAATTTTTGAAAAACTTAATTAAAGTCATGTCCGTCAAAATGTAAGATCAGGGGATAATATGAGGATGAGAATGCAACTTTAATACCAGGTTTGGCATCGTGACATTTGCTGTTTTTGGAGATTGTGTTGGATGATTAAACTGACAAGTCTGGAGTGGTCTCCTTCTGCATGTGCTTTACTTGTGCTCAGTACTAACTTTCACCACTATGCTTTTATGCTGCCAGACCGCTGGTTGGCTATATCTTGATGTTGTCTTTCTACTTGTTTGAGTTGAGTCAAGAATTGATATCACAGCACTCAGGGCATTCCCGTGTGTGCTCCTTCCTTATCTTCAGCAGCCAGAGCAGAGTTCCAGTACTAATGGTACCGGTCATAATCTGGTTATATCTCCGTCTTGCCTTTCCTCTGCGTGTAGTGAGCCCGCCAGACCCTCTGGTTGCACCCAGGTGTCTCATTCTCTCCAGGCCATGATTTCCACTTGTATCATAGTCAGCTGTCTGCTCTCTTGCACCTCTGTGTTTTGATTGTTTTTATTCTGCTTTACTGTGGTCAGTCGTATTACTTCTGTTGAACAATCTCTGTTTTTAATTGTTGAGCCCAGATATTACAGAAATATGACTTCATATTTTTCACTTTCACCGGCTGTTAACTCTGATGACAAGTTCTGGTTGTTGGTGGGCTTCAATCTTGATCCAGCACTTGAGTTTTGCGTGCATTCTGTTTTACAGATCTGGCTTTTTTGTAAACCGACTGTTGTTTTCTGTCACCTTTTGCAGATGGCCTTTGACTTTGAAGAAAAAATAACCTATTAGTCAACTTTTATGACATCCTTGTTGGGAAGCAGTGGGTCTGTTCTTTTCTCCCCAAACTGGGATCCAGGAACCCACAAGGGGAAGATACTCAAATTCTTCATTGTTGATTGACATTTATCCCAGTGGCCAGGGGATATATGATGCTCATATTTTTATAGAACAGTTTGCACTCGGTTGGTGATGTAGTCAACATCTGTTGCCATTTTCTTCTTCTTCTTCGCGTTCACCGCCTGTAAACTCCGGTGGAAAGTTCTGGTTGTTTGTCCACTTCTGGACTGCAGTTCTGTTCCAGAACCTGAGTGTTGCGCGTGCATCCGTTTGACAGATCTGTATGCAGACTGTTGGTTCCTTGCCTCTCAGGCAGGTGCACTCCGACTTCAAAGGAAGCTCCCAATTAGTCAATTCTTACGACATGCTTTTGGGTAGGCAGTGGGTCTACTCTTGTTTTCCCAATATTAGGGCCCGGGAACCCACACCGGGGAGGTGTGTGTTGCCATTTTGAGTTGACACATAATTATTGCCTGTGGACATTGCCCTGTAAGATCATTTAGATCATTATATAATTTGTTACCAAAAGTCTTCTAAGCATTCTTCTGTGAACCACATTTACTTGCTTCAGAGAATTTCCTGCTTGTTTACTGATTGTCCTGGCACATTGTTGACCGTAACATAAAATATGGATCTGGCACCTTATGACTGATGCGCATATGGCTTGAAAAAGGTGTCCTGTACCTACTTACTAATTGCTCATGAGTCACAGCCATGTGGTAACACTGGTTCTGTGTAACATAAGAACTTGATCACTAACTTCAAATGACAGACTTATTTTTGGAGATTTGTACTTGATTCTATAAAACACAGTTTTTGCTTGTTCAGATTTTTTAACAGCATGCAAATGGGTTATTCCTTGCTGTAATAACTTGTTTGACAAAGTCTCCAGATTTAGTGTATGTGGTCCTGCCTTTCAGTAAGGAAATCTCTCTTTCTGTTACTTAATTCTCATTCAAAGGGCATTCAGCGTTTTGATGTTTAAGAAATACAAAATAATTGTAAAAAATTATTTCCTGTGTGGATTCTGGGGCCTCAGTGGAAGGGGGTGGGGGAGGGGGTGGGTGGAATAGACATAGTTTGCTGAAACAGGTTGTGTTGTATCAAAAAGTGTGTATATCACAGCCTAGCTGTAAACTGCCACAGTCTTCTGGCTGTCTTTTTAAGGGTGAAGGCAGAAGAAGAAGAAAAACAATATATATCATAGTGAGCGTGTGAGATTTTGTTCGCCACTCACATAATCACATATCTGAGATGAGGTGGACGTTCTAGTTGAGTCGTGTAACCAAGCCTTCTATGTATTTATCTCTATATTCCTCTTTCATCTTTTTCTTCAGTTCCTCGTTTAGCATTTTGAGTGTCATTGGAGATTTAAACTGCTGCTTTTTGCTCGTTTGGTCACCTTGACTGACCATAGACACATTTTTGTTTGAAGAGTTTTTCTGATATCTTTCCATATTTTCTTGTTCTACCTCATGAACTTTGCCCCTTTCCTGTTTCGGCAAATAAACCATTTTATTTGCACTCTTTGTGTAAAGTTCGATATTGGTTCTGTGCTTTTTAAACTTATCTCTTTCAGTCCTAAGAATCATGCGACTAACTTGGTGTGACAAATGCCACACATTGCCTATCTTCTTTAAGTATTATACATTTTGTCACAGTATAGTGACAAAGTCTGCCTTACCCAGTGACCGTGTCTGCTGCAAAGTTCAAGTGTTTGAAATTAATAAAGTAGAAATTTTTTATAGTGGCTATTTACCTTCTTGAACTTTGCTATAAAAATCTTTTGGGATTGAAGAAGGAAAACGTCATTCCTGTTTTAGCTTTTCACATCACCTCTACAGCCTTTCTCAGGCATGTCATTTCTATGGTTAAAAGGTATCTTTTCTGGTTTGTTGTGAGTAAAAGGTAAAGTCTGGAGAAGTGAACCAGGGTCATTGCACACGGTTATAAACCATAAA